AAAAACACCCACCCTACAGAACTGATGAACTTTTCATCTGAACACTATAAAAGTACTTTTGCAGTACAATGACTCTGGTGGAACTATGACACTGCAACTATGAAAGTTTTTGTATAAACAGCCACTTTTCTTGATTCTGAGCGTTGAACCCTTCTCTGACTCTCGACACCGTCATGGTTCTGAACAAGCTTATATGGAGCGGTGACAAGAGACCAAAGGAAGTCCTGGACTTCATGCTGGACTTCATGACCTTTTTTTTTTGCTGCTGCTCCCAGTCGGCCATGCAAGCCGAGCCCAATGTAAATTACCCTGCCAGACGTTGGACTAAAAGGTAAAATGATCCGGAGTCCTTGTCACCTCCACTCATGTCTCTGACTTGCGGAAGTGTGCCTCAGTTGGCTGCATGGCCTGCCAGGCTGGTTCCCATTACATCCTGCTTCAAGCAATCTGTACCGACGGCTGAGCGGGTCAAAAATGATGAAGAAACAAAATAACCTAGAGAGTGACAAAACCTTGCTTAAATCACACCCAAACTGGTTCTGTGCTGGGAATAATGGCTGTGAAATATGAACAGAAACAGCAGTTTCAAGCCACATTCCTGCTAAATTCAGATTTACAATCCAACATCTTTTACTCTGAAACATGCAAACAGTCTATTTTTGACTTTGAATTGTCTCAGATAGGGATTTGAACTGGATTCTCAGTGTGGGGGACAGGAGAACTCCCCGTGCACTCCAAAAGTCAGCGCCCACAGAATCTGAGGACACAAACACATCAAAAGAGGAAGTCTCTGGAGGGTCACACCAAACAAAGATGCTGCTTTAAGACCACGAACCATCCCAGGGGCCTTTTTGAAATAATAAAGCTAATTGAAAATCGTACCTCTAACAACAATCAAGCTGCATCTTACATGAAAGCTTGTTCTTCATTTTCCAAACAGAGCTCTTTGCTCTCAGGCTGCAGCTTTACTTGTGGTTCCTATAGAGTTGGTAAACGTGGATTGGGAGGCAGAGCTTCCAGTTATCAGGCTCCTCTCCTGTGGAACCAACGTCCAGATTTGTCTATGAGGCCATGTTGACTTTTAAGACCTAGATTAAGATTTTCTTTTTAAATCGTACAGTTGTCTTGGGTTTCATGAATGATCCCTTAGTTAGGCTGCAATAAACTTGCTGGAGGACAAACTGAAAACATGTCCTCAGTCTGTTGCTGTCTTTACGCTCTGCTCTCCATGTTCCTATTGGAAATCATTGCCAACATGAAATATAATTTTATTTAATGTTTTTCCCAATAAAAACTAAACCCGAAGCATAAAAATTACACATGGACGAGGGAAAATACACCTGGACCAGAGGAACTACACCTGGACCACTGAAACTACACATAGAACTTAGAACCAACAACTGAATATCATACATGGACCAGATCAACTACACCAGAAGTATATAATCTACTCTTGGACCATGTAAACTACACCTGGATCACAGAAAATACACATGGACCACATAAAGCACACCTTGGCTAGAACTTACAACACATGGACCATTGAAACTACACCTGGACAAGATAAACTACACTTGGATCAGATCAACTTCACCTGGATCAGGGAAACTAAACCTGGACCATTGACACTATACCTGGACCTGAAAAACAACTCCTGGACTATAGAAACTACAACTGGACCACTGAAATTACACATGGACTATAGAAACTACATATGGATTAGAGAATCTTTTCCTGGATCAGAGAAAATACACCTGGACCATAAAAAACATGACCAGAACAGAGAAACTACATCTGGACCATAGAAACTAAACTTGGAACAGATAAACCACATCTGGATCAAATAAACTACAGGAACACCAACTCTACACCTGGACCATCAAAACTACACCTGGACCACAAAAACTACACCTGGACCATAGAAACTACACCTGGACTATGTAACCTACACCCAGATCAGATAAACTACACCTGGACCAGAGAAACTACACCTGGACCATAGAAACTACACCTGGACTATATAACCTACACCCAGATCAGATAAACTGCACCTGGACCAGAGAAACTACACCTGGACTCTTTACCTGGATAGGAAAAAATACCTGGACCATAAAAAACAGAACAGATAAACTACAGCTGGACCATTGAGATTTCACATGAACCAGAAAAAAAACACACCTGGATCAGTGAAAGTACACCTGGACCATAGAAACTAAACTTAGACAAGAATAAATCACATCTGGATCAAATAAACTACAGGAACACCAAATCTACACCTGTACCATAGAAACTACACCTGGACCACCAAATCTACACCTGTACCATAGAAACTACACCTGGACCCTGTAAACTACACCTGGACCCTGTAAACTACACCTGGACCCTGTAAACTACACCTGGACCCTGTAAACTACACCTGGACCCTGTAAACTACACCTGGACCCTGTAAACCACACCTGAAGCGGTCCTTCTGTGTTCGTCTCTGTCCTCTCTAACCCCAGGCGGTCGAGGCAGACGACCACCCGTCCGTCCGGGGCCTGGCCCAGGTTCTGCTGGAAGCTTCTTCCTGAGTCATTCCTCTCCACTGTCGCCATCATGTTGCTCAGGACGGACGATTGTGACGAAGTCAAGATTTGATGCTTCCTTAAATAACTTTCAGCATGACCTGACAGTGCATTTCAATCTGGACCTGAATTAGATATTTTTAAGTTTCTTAACAGTTTATCAGTAATTGAAATACGGTCCTTTGAATGTTTCGATGTTTTACAACTTTTATTATTGTAAATTTAAGTGAGCATTAACAGTAAAACCCTCGTTAATTCTGTAATTGTAGATTTTTTTCAATGACAGCACGTTATGTATAAACCTAAAAGTAATAACTTTATTGAAACTATTAACAAAGCAAAGCTGAACACTTTGTTCTTTGTTTGAGTTCTGATTTCTGAATCTTTTCACATATTTAGGATTTTCAAACAGTTTCCGCTTGTCTGCTATTTCCCATTGCACCTTTTAGTCTCAGTCTGTCTGCAGCTCGTCTCTCCTGCCCGTCGGTTTAACGCAGCATGATTGGCAGCGTGTTCAGCATAAACAACATGTTTGCAGTGACTCCGGTGTTTGTAAATGTTTATCAGACGGTCAACCTGCTTTCTGTCTGCAAAGAGTCCAGACTGACAGCTCTGAAAGCAGGAACAAGTCAGCTCACACACGAAAACAGAAATCCTTTAACGGTTTAAGTTTGCATGAAAGATGGACGGAAAACAAAATGATCCAGGATTTTAAAGTAGAAAAGAAGAACTCATCTTGTTTTGTGTGAATATATTCATCATATTGTATATTGTATTTATTACTCTAATCTATTTGATTTATGCCCATTCAGTGAAAATCACAAGGAAAAACTTTTCAATTCGCAGTTTTTGTCCTTTTAAACCTCATCGCTCAGGATGGGTTTAATTTGAGCTTTAGTGGACATAAACATGGACATACTCACAAAATACTGAACATCTGATCTGAAAGTGTTGAATTAGAAGTAATGCATCTGTGTGTGTGTGTGTGTGTAAGAAGTTTGACATCTGAGCCATATATATATATATATATATATATATATATGTATATATATATAT